CATATAATCATGATTGTGTATTTTATATTTATAGAAGATGACGTTGTTTGAGATTCAAATTCCTTATCTTTCTATTTTTGTATTGAAACTATCTTCTAATTAATAGGATATATAAACTTACCATATCTTTTGTTTTTTTAATTGAAATCCGATATCCCCATTCATGCGCAATTTAAGGAACACGTTTAATATGTTTTATTTGGTAACTGAAATTTGATTATTCACTAATAAATGTAATGCATTTGGTAAAAATGCAAATAAAATCTACACCTTGGTACAAATACAAATATTTTAAAATCTTGTGATAAACATAAAAATTCACCTTCTGATAAACATAAAAATTCCCCATCAAAATTTGGTATGTTGGCCTATGGGTTGATATGTTTTAACTATGGGCCAAGACCTGCCTTGGCCCACTGGATTTTCCAATTTTTTATTAAGCAACCAGGGCTGCTAATTATGAAACTACTCCTAAGCCATGGCCCAGTGAATTTACAAATTGCAATCTGAACTGCTGGCACGCTAAACATGGCTCAGCCTTAGTTACTTTAAATTAAATTTAAGGACAAAAGTGACAAAACTCCCCTGGGCTGCTTTGTTTTACAAATTGCAAGATGGAACAAATTTTTTTTTCTTTATTTATTTAGACAAATGTCATTATACACTATAATAAAATTATATAGAATTATATATTATACATTTAAAATAAATAAAAATTATATATTAATTAAATCGGTTCGACCACTGGTCCGACCAATCATTGAACCAGTAGCTTCATCGGTTCAATGACTGATTCGGTTTTTAGAACCTTTATATTTTCTTCTAAATCTCTCACATTTCATCAATTGCTGTCAATTATTAGCTCAAATTTGCTTAATTTCAAAATTTTCAATCACATTCAAGTGAATAGCATGTTTAGGACCTTATTTTCGGTTTTGTGATTTGCCGACTAGATAGTAAACGAGTCTCCGAACAACCTTCTTTCGAGAAGACGACCCGAGGTCGGAATTTATTCCGTACTCGGCTAAAAACTATAAAATCTATGTAATCATATTTGATTTCATTAAACAATAAAATTTAACAGTACTCCCTTTCGAGCACAAAAACCTCTTGTGTTAACTAAGACCGTTAATGCGAATTTTCACAAAAACAAACACCACGATACACCATCTTCATCAACTAATCCTTGGCATGCATTACCTAAGCGCTCCAAGCGCGCGTCCAAATTCGACAACTTTATAATCTATCCTACTTATATTCCATATATTTTATATTTTAGCTAATTTCTAGTTTTTTTTTTAATCATATTTGATTTCATTAAACAATAAAATTTAACAGTACTCCCTTTCGAGCACAAAAACCTCTTGTGTTAACTAAGACCGTTAATGCGAATTTTCACAAAAACAAACA